TGGCCTGAACTTCTGGCAGCTCCCTGACAATGTACTGCTGCAACATTGTTGGATGATCTTAAGCAAAACTTTATTTGTGTACAATATCAATGATATGGTTTGGGTGTTCTGTTAAGTCACCTTTCTTTGGAATGACACAAATATGGATCTCTTCCAGTCAGTTGGCTACGTAGCTGTCTTCCAAACTTCCTGGCATAGACGAGTACTTCCAGTGCTTTCTCAGCATGCTGAAACATTTCCATGGGTAGTCTGTCAATTCCTGGAACCTTGTTTTTGACCGATGCATTCAGTACAGACGTTCTTCCTTTAGCTGCATTAGTTCTTTCTCACGTGCTGCCTCCTGCAATGGTGGACTGTCCACTAGTTCTTTTTCATCCAGTGACTCTGTGTATTCTTTCCATCTTCTTTTGATGCTTCCTGCATCATTCAATATTTTTTGCCTATAGAGTCTTTCAAAGTTGCAATTCGAGGCTTGAATTTTTGCATGAGTTCTTTCATTTTCAGGTAGGCTGAGGCTGTTCTTCCCTTTTGGTTTTCTAATTCTAGGTCCATCTGTATTTTGTTGTAATTTCTGGCTTTGTCTTCTTGAGCTGTCCTTTGACATTTTCTTTTGAGGTCCTTGACATCATCCTTTCTTTTATTGGCTTTAGCTACTCTATGATTTAGAGCTAGTTCAGAGTCTCTTCTGACACCCACTGTGATCTTTTCTTTCTTTCCTGCCTTTGTAATGGCCTTTTGCTATCTTCATGAATGATGGTCTTGATATTCTCCCACAGCTCATAGGGGCTTCTGCCATTAGTGTTCAGGACACCGAATCTGCTCTTGAGATGCTCTAAAAATTCAGGTGGGATAGACTCACGTTTGCATTTTGACTCATGTGGATTGGTTTGAACATATGAGCAATCGGTGACTTGTTCCATGATAGGCCTCTGGTCTGGTTTTAGCTGCTGATGTTGAGTTCTCCAGTATCTCTTCCCACAGATCTGGTCAATTTGATTTGTGTATTCCATCTGAAGACGTCCATGCGTATGATCACCTTTTGTGTTGTTGAAAAAGGATATTTGCTAAGAACAAGTCTTTGGTTTTGCAAAATTCTATCATGTGATTGCCAGCATTATTTCTGTCACCAAGGCCATATTTGTCAACTATTGTTTCATCCTCTTTATTGCCAACCTTTGCATTCCGGTCACCAATAATTATCAACACACCTTGATGCATGTTTGATCAATTGCTGACAGAATTCGTGGGCACTAACCTTTGTGGTTGGTGCATAAATTTGAATTGTAATTGTATTGATTAGATATCTTTGAAGGCAGCTAGCTATAATCCTGTCATAGATAGCATTGTACTTCATGATGAATTTTGCAAGATCCTTTCTAACAGGAATGCCTGCCTTGCCATTCTTCTTGATTGTGCTATTCCCATCATCGTAAATCATATGGTTTTCTGATGCCAGAGGGCCAATCCCAGTCCCTTTCAGTTCACTCATGTCTAGGATATCAATCTTTGTGTGTTCCATTTCATTTTTGACCATTTCCAATGTTCCAAAATTTGTACTTCACACATTCCACGTTCCCATTATTAGAAGACTGCCCTGAGTCGACCCCCATCAGCACATGATGATCCCCCATTCCCACAGCTTTAGCTGCCTCCCATCACCCTGGTGGACTCCCCTCTAAGAAGCCATCTCCTCGTCAGTCACATCCCGAGTGCCCTCAGACTGGAGGGGCCCAGCTGCCAGCAGTATCTCTGTCACCGTTCTGCTTCCTTTGCTTAGGCCTGCGGCCTTTGAAAATGCTTCAAAACTATACATTAGGTTTTCAGCGGCATCTTCATCCGAAGTGGGAAACCAAGTCCTTCTTCATGGTCTTCACTGTTCTTAGTCTGGAAGCTCCACTGAAAGCTGCTCGCTTTGGGTGACCCTGATGGCCTTTGAAGTACCAGTGACAGAGCTTCCAGCATCACCGCAACACACACACCACCACAGTCCGACAACCCGACAGACCAAGGGTCAGGCGATGTGAAGTCCTGTGCTCTTAGCCTGCTACGTGGCGTGTGAATGCAGTGGCATCCGTGAAAAGTGGGCCAGTTTTCCAAGTCTTCAATTTCCTAATTTATCAGGTTGCTAAATTTCCTGAATTAGTTCATTTGACTTTTAACAATTTCAAACTGCTAACGGAATGTTGGGGGAACTCTGGTGGCACAGTGGGATAAGCATTGGGCTGATAACTGCCAGGGAAGCAGTTTGAAACCACCAGCTGCTCCTTAGGAGAAAAACGAGGCTCTTAACTCTCAGAAACCCACAAGAGGCAATTCTACTCTCTTCTAGGGTCACTGTGAGTTCAAATCAACACAATTGCAGTGTGTTTTGTTTTTTAAAGGAAACTTTTATTTGGGTAATTGATGATAAAATAAGTTTTTGAAAGCTAAATATATTCTGAATATTTGGTCTTTAATATATCAAATTAAGTACAATTGCCTATCTTACATGCTGGAAGAAGCCTTGTTGGTAAGCAGGTGTCCTCAAACTAGGGCCCGCGGGCCACATGTGGCCCACCGAGGACATTTATCCTGCCCGCCGGGTATTTTTGCCCTTTTGGTTTTTTACTTCAAAATAAGATATGTGCAATGTGCATAGTAATTTGTTCATAGTTTTTTTTAAAAGATAGTCCGGCCTACCAACAGGTCTGAGGGACAGTGAACTGGCTCCTGTTTAAAAAGTTTGAGGACCCATAGTGGTTATGCGTTGGACTGTGATCCATATGGTAGTTAGTTCAAAACCACCAGCAGCTCTTTGGGAGAAAGTCTGGGCTTTCTACTTCTGTAAACAGTTACAGTCTTGGAAAACCACAGGGGGTTGCTATGAGTCAGCATTGACTCGATGGCAGTGAGTTTGGTTTTTGTTATATGCTACATATTTCAGATACTTTTAATATTATTTATCTTCTTAAACTTTGAGCATTTAAAGTGCCCTTCAGAAAAATTCTCAAATGCTGAGAGCACTAATTTTATGTTAAACCATTAAAATTTTGTCTATAAATAAAATTAACAAATAAGTCTGACTCATTATGTGTATTGGCTTAATGTTTTTGTTTTTACTTATTTGGATTCTAGTATCCATTGCAGTGGCTACACAGAAACACACAGACAAAATGTCACGATTAAGGGGTTTATATAAGGAAGTTAAAAAGTTGTGATGCCAATGAAGAGTGCTCAGGAGTGTTGGTTACTAGGACGTGCGACGAAGTTTCAGATCTGCTAATAAATGCCGAAAAGGGGCATACCGCTCTGCTGTAAGCCCCAGCGTGAAGGCATCCAATTCAAACTCCGTGGGTCAGCAAACCCAGCTCCCTGAATTAAGTGCCACCCCACTCCAATAAGCCTCAGCCCTAAGGCACCCAGCCTCAATCCCATGGTCAGCAAGTCTAACTCCCCCAACTAACTGCCCAGGGGAACCCCACTCCACAAACCAGCTTCCTGCACAAAAGCCCTGGTCTTTGTTGTGGGTCAGAACGTCGATCAGTTCAATCCGTGCTCTGGCCCATGGTTCTGCTGCTGCTCCTCTGATGGTGTAGCTGTCATCTGGGCCCAGAAGGCTCTATGCAAGGATCTCTGGACCAGAGACTGTAGCCCACTCCTGGCTCTTGCCGGTAATGAAATCCCTCCTCCTGCTTCTCAGAGACTCCTTTTATACGCAGCAGGATGACATATATGAGAATTCTGTTAGAAATTACTCACAGGTGAATCTTATCAGTATCACCCCCTACTTCTTTCCAGACCCCTGCAGGGAAAGGCCATTTGGTGGGTGTCAGAGACTGGCTACAAGAGCCACGTTAAACCATTCACTGTCCCTGCAGTACGAAAACTAAAACTTTTCTGATTCAGTGAGATAGCATGAGTGTCTCCAGAAAGACTGACTAATGGTGAGGCAATTAATACCTCTCATTCTATACATGTTCATTTAAAATATAGGCTTGTGAGGGACGAAAAAAAACATAGGCATTAAGATTTTAAAAATATGAAAAGACTATTAATATATTATCAAAAGACAAATTTTAAGTGCAAGAGTGTAGTATGAACTGAAATATTATCATATGAAAGTGGTTTTGCTTTTTTATTTATTTTGCTTCTATGAAAATCACAATATAGTATATTTCATCGTAACCAGGATTGAATATTCTCTTTAGACCTGTTAAGTCAAAATGGTTACAACTTTAAAAATGGGTGTGCTTTTGTTTATTTTTGTAAAACTATGCGTTTGTGTAATATGGTAAGTTTTCACTTCACATGTTGGTCATCCAGTGAAAGAGTTGATTTTCGATAATTTGACTATTTGGAGAATTGGTTTGTGGGTAAATTGATTTCCACTGCGTAACCTAGAGCAGTGGTTTGTAAACTGGGTGAGCATAAGTCTCCTGGGGTTGTGTTAAGCAGCATTTTGCTAGGCTCCGTTCTCAGAGTCCCTGATCCACACGAAACTAGGGCCTCGCCTAACTAACCCATTCCCAGGTGGTGCTGAAGCTACCAACCCAGGGACACTTGAAGAGCCGCGCAGCAGACTGCATGGGCATCAATTCCCGTTGAGAGCAATGGGCCGTGTCACTAGGATGCGCACAGAAAAAGGCAAGACAAAGTGAAGAGGAAACAGTGCTACTCGCCATGTCTGTCAAGTAGACAAGAATGTTCAGAGTGGCTTCCTGGGCTCCAGGATCCAGGGAATGCGCTCAGTGGACCCGCACACTGTCCCCTCAGGGGCGTGGTCACGAGGGTTAAATGAAAGGAGACTTCATGTGTGAGGTGCGCCTTGCTGTCACTGTGTAAACAGCAACGTGATTTGCAGGCACTTGTGTGAGGGAGGCTTACTAGAAGTGTTGCAGAAATCAATGTCAATTTTTAACTGGTAGGGCTTTTGTTTCCTAGTCTCTCCAGGATTTTGTCAAAGGCGCTCTTGCTTTTGAAATGTTATAAGCTCTTTCTCTTTGTGTCTCTTCCCATCTCAGGCAATGTTCAGTCTCTGTATGGTGGAAAGTGGAGCTGACGAGGTGAATTTGCATGGTGTGACCAGCCTTGGTTTAAAGCAGGCTCTGGAGTTTGCATACACAGGACAGGTATGGTACCAAAGACGACCTGAGTCGTGTCACATTGTAACTTCCTCTAGGCTGAAGAATTTTCCTCCACCTAAAGGTGATGGTTATTTTTCTTATTATTCATTTTAAAGATAATCATTAAAAATGCTCACATGCATCTAACTGTAACCGGTGTGCTGGGAAGGTAACTAAAGCAACTTGACTTTAAAAAAAAAAAAAAGATTTTGTTTTTAGAGCAGTTTTAGGTTCCCCGCCCCCCCCCCCAAAAAATGTGTGGTTTATTTTTAATATAACCCACCCAGCACAGTATTTTAATCATAGCCTGGTGGCTTGTTGACACCATTGACATTATCTACAGGACTGTCAGAGGGGACGGGTTTGCAAGATCATTTGACTTCTCATGGTTATCACCAAAGCTCAGTGACTCGAGCATGGCTTTAAAACCCCCAAAAGCCACTCCCGGGGTCCTGACACTGTGGTCCCCACACATCGTTCCGGGTCATGTCTTAGGCACTTGGATTAGAATGCGATCATCTGTCGGACCCGTACCTCAGCCTATGTCCAAAAAGGTAACTTAAGGTGGAACCGAGACCCAAATCTACACCCAGAACTATGAAGACCACCCATGAGAACACAGGCAGCACTCCGGTGGGCCCTGTGGCAGGACACAGACACACTGTAAACTGAGCAAAGGAAACACACGCCGATGACGAAACAGATGACTGGAACCCACTAAGAAGACGGCACTCGTGTGCATCAAAAGACTTCATCAAATGAGTGGAAAGAGAACCTACAGAGTGGAGGAAAAAATTTTTGCAATATGTTGTTTTAAGTAGTATGCTCTGTCTTATCTCTAGGTTCTACTATCCACTGCAGTGGCTGCACAAAACCCGCAGACAATATTCATGACTAAAGGGTTTATTAAGGAATCCATAGATTGGAATGTAAATGAGAAATGCTCAGGATAGAATTGTTCATCAGGACATGTTACAAAGTGATGCCCAAAGGGCATACCACTCCTGCTGTGAGCCTCAACTCAGAGGCCTTCAGCAAGCCTCGCTGCCCCAATTAAGTATCTCGAAGTACTCCACTCCCCAAGCCAGCATCTGGTCCCCAAGCACTCAGCTGTGGTTGTTCCGTGGGTTAGGGAATTCACCACTCTATCCCATGCTCCTGCTGCTGCTCCGATGGTATAGCTGTCCTCTGGATCCAGGAAGTTCACTGGGCAGGGATCTCAGGGTCCAGAGGATGTGCTCCACTCCTGGCTCCTCCTGGTATGAAGACCTCTCTTCCTGCTTCTCAGAGGCTCATTTTAGACGCAGTAGGATGACATTCCAGTGAATCCTGTTGACAGTTACTCACAAGTGCTTCCTATCAAATCGTCCCCCACCTTCTTACCACGACCTTCTTACTCTTGTAGGAAAAGGTCGTTTAGCTGGAGGTTAGAGACTTTGGCTAGAGAGCCACCTTAGGTAACTCACTGTGCCTGCAAATGACACAGCACACAAGGGACTCATCTCTAAAATTTACAGAAAACTGCAACACTTCATTAAGAAAGAGAGGAAGGGAGGGGGTAGCGGGGAGGGAGGGGAAAAATGAGGACCTAATGCCGGGGGTTTAAGTGGAGAGGAAATGTTTTGAGAATGATGAGGGCAATGAATGTACAAATGTGCTTTACACATTTGATGTATGTATGGATTGTGATAGGAGTTGTATGAGCCCCTAATAAAACGATATAAAAAAAAGAGGAATAAACCAAATCAAGAATGATCAAAATACATGAACAGACAGTTCACTAAGGATGACTTCCAAATGGCCAACAGACATGACGAAATGTTCATGACCACTACCCATCCAGGAGATAAAAATTAAAAATGATGAGATACCATGTTATACTGACATTATGGCAAAGTTAAGAAAAACACACAAGCAGAAAATAACAAATGCTAGAGAGGCTATGGAGAAATTGGAACCCTCATACACTGCTGTGAGACTGAAATGTATCCAAACACTGTGGAAAGTGATATAGTGCTACATCAAACAACTGAGGCAGAAATTTCAGTGCCCCAGCTATCCCTCTGCTGGGGCTATATCCTAAGGAAGTCAGGGTCACAGCACAAACAGACACATAGCGCAAATAGCACACCCATGATCAATGCAGCAGTGTTCCCAACAGCAAGAAGATAGAAACAACGTAAATGCCCAACAGTGGAAATATGGATAGAGGAACTCTGGTACATACACACAATGAATTACTATGCATCATTACAAAACATGACAAAACCAAGAAGTACCTCAGGGCATGGAAGGACCTGCTGAGGGAAGTTAGCCAATCACAAAAGGGCAAATAGTATATAAGACCACTAATATAAGGGGCGGGGGTGGGGATAAAGACTCTCATACCAAAGGGAACAGACTTTGGAAGTTGCAGATCAGGGAGGATAAGCCAAGGGGGTGGGACGGAGGGCCATAGTGGGGGGAGGGAAGAAAGTGGGGGCGGGGAGGGAAGCAGGGGCAGGGGAGACTCAGGCAGGGTTTGGCTTCACAGAGGAGGTGGCATGGCACATAAGTCTTAAAGGTGGTAATTCTTTCCACTAAATATTCTTTAGACGCTCATTAAAGTGATAGTATTAATCCATTCTCCTGGATTTTGTAGAGTTCAAGATATACATAGGAGGAGCTTCTAGAAGCTCGTAGAAGAATCTCCTCATTCCTTAAATCCATTTTTCCACCAACTTTTCGAAGGCCTCTCCTTAGTCATAGCATATCTGAGAACTCGGCCAGCTGGATGATAACAGTGAGGAGGGAGGGAAATAGAGCCATCCACATGCTGGCAGTTACACAGGAGGGAAAGAACGATGATGGATTGAAAACTCATCATCAAACCAGCTTAATGTCATGCCGAATGAAATTATTGCCCACGGAGTTGTCAAAACATAATCCCAGCAAGTGGCTAAATAATTTCCAGTCTGCTTTGGTTTATGAGTGTAACAATGACACCAGCTCCAAATGGTGTCGTGCATTTGCCCATCTCCACAGTCAGATTGTTAACACATAACCGGTGCTTCACTGGAGTGAGAGGGGATAAAACCACTAGTATTGGTTCTTAGATAGAATTACTTAGTGTCTGTGTTTCACTGCATTCACACCTAAATGACATAAGATAATGGGGCAGGCTACATGGGGTATATTATGTTTACATCATTAATGAACAAGAGTAAGTTCCTGTGAACGACTAGATTTTCAAAACTCACAACCATCGAGACAATTCCTACCCATCATCACCCTGTAGGATAGAGTAGAACTGCCCCGTGGGCTTCCAAAGCTATGCATTTTTACAAGAATGGAAAGCCTCATCTTTCTCCCATACCTTGTAGTTTCTAACCACAACCTGTGGTTAGCCGCCCAACTCCTAACCCACAGCGCCACCACACGTATAAAAATAGAACTGGCATCCCTATTGTTTTAATTGATTTCCTTAGGGAGATTCACTCTTGGTTTCTTTCGCAGTGATGATCATAGATTGAGAAATAAACACACACAGACCCCAACCGAGTTGCCATTGAGTCAAGATTGCTGCTTATGATGAGTTCACGCGTGCCAGAGTAGAATTGTGCTCTACTAGTTTGTTTGATGTTTTTTTTCCTGTTGGGGAGGTGGGGCGTGAGCAGGGTGGGAGTAGGTCACCAGGCCTTTCTTCCAAGGCACTTTGGGGTAGACTTGAACTGCCATCCTTTCAGATAGCAACCAAATGCTTTACCATTTGCACCACTTAAGGCCTCTCTCTTATGTCATCATCCCTCATGAAAGCAGCAGTCAAGAAATCAAAGGACAATACTGCCTTGGGCAAATTGTGTGCACCAGACCTCTTCCGAGGGTTGAAGAGCAAGGGTGCCACTTGGAGCACTGAGGTGGGCCCGACCCACGGCATGTGAAAGCTGGACAACGAATAAGGGAGACAGAAGAAAAAGGGATGTTTTGTTGGTGGTGAAGGATACGAAGGACATCGAGACTGCCGGACGAACCAACAAACCTATCTTGGAATTGTTATCAGGAGAGACCCGCTCCTGGGAAAGCCTCTCCTGCATAGTGAGGTCAGTGGAAACGGGAAGACCCTCAGTGAGCTGTGCCGACACCACACACGCTGCAACACGGAGCTCAGACATCGCGGCAATGGGGTTGTCTGGGTGCCTGCAATACAGAGCGCCTTTGAAATGTGAACTGAAGGCGGCAGAAGAGGAGAGGACCTTTTGAAGGCTAAAAATGGAGGAAGATGCGATAGTCAGTGTCCTCCTCGATAGCAATCTTGGAAGCCCGATGGCGCAGGCTGACTCTGTACCGTAGGGTGATGATAACTCAGAGTTGACTGGATTGCACTGGCTATACTCGTATCAAACTCTCAGCCTAAAAATCGCAGTGCTTTATGGTCTGTGCTAGCACATGTGTTACAGAGAAAGTGAACTGCTTCTGTAGGATTTACTGCCTGTAGTCTTTAAGGAAGCGTATCTACACACCTTTCTTCCACTGAAATCCAAGGTGGGTTTAAAACGCCAACCTTTACCATAGTAGTTAAAGCCAAACCATATGCACCGCCCACAGACTGGCACTTAGCATTGCCTGAACATCTGTTCTTCTCGTGGGCATCCACAATTGGCAGCAGGCTGGTGGCACATGCCATTAATTCATTTGTTCCAGTTGCTTCCTTAGGGGGCAGGTAGGGGCTGACTTTGCATGGAGAACTTTGCAGGGCCAGAGCTCTGTACCGGACATTTATTTTTAAAGACAGCTCAGCCATACTGTGGTCCCACTATCCAGGTAGCAGTCCCAGGGAGGTGCAGTGATAGGCCAAGCTCTTTCTTCTAGTACATTTTGACCCAAGTAGTCACACCCAAGTCTTCTCATTTCCAGGCAGTTGTTCCTTTTTTAATGTTGTACATCATTAAGAAAAGGTTAAGTTTTATGTTTTATACTGGGTTAAAAGAGGTTGGGAAAACTTTGAGACATTTTAGGGAGTGAACTAT